TGTTGTATTTTAATAATTGAATTTGTTCAAAGAACTATAAAATACATATGTTACTTAGTAACAAGGTCACAAACTTGAATTCCTCCACTCCCAAACTTCCCCCCCTCCAGTTACCCTGGAGAGGCGGGAGTTTATTGGAAAATGCGGATACATACATATTTCTGCAGCCGTTAGGCTTTTGCAGCTAAGAAAGGGGCATTAACTTAAACAAACTACCCTCCACTCCCCACCCACTTGCCTCTCTTCTATTGACGGAACCCATCTCTCTTTATTCTCAGACACAGTGTGTTGCAAAGAAGTTGTAATGTGTAACGTGTGTAACCTCTTTGGTGTGTAATTTCTGTCAGTTGTTTTCGTTGTTTTCTGTGCAGGCGTGTTAATGTCTGCAAACACGTGTGATTAGTGTTCTCAACATATGCTGCTGATTTAAAAGTGCAGTAATATTTATAAACATGAGTGACGTAGAGGATGAACCGCAACAGAAAATATCTGGTCCATTGGAAAACGCGTGGGACATGAAAGTTCCCGAGTTTCGACCTGAAGATAATCCACATCGACTTTTAGAAGAAAGTTCATTTGCAACATTATTTCCTAAGTATAGAGAACAATATGTTCGTGAATGTTGGCCATTAGTGCAGAAAGTTCTTGCAGGCCATTTCATAAAGGCGGAACTTGACCTTGTGGAAGGCACAATGACAGTGCGAACAACTAGACAGACATGGGATCCTTATATTATAATAAAAGCACGAGATTTAATTAAACTCATAGCTAGAAGTGTTCCTTTTGAACAAGCTCAACGTGTTTTGGAAGATGATGTAGCATGTGATATAATTAAAATTGGTAATTCAATAAAAAATAAAGAACAATTTGTGAAAAGGCGCCAACGTTTAATTGGCCCCAATGGTTGTACATTGAAGTCTATTGAACTTTTGACAAAATGTTATATACTTGTTCAGGGTAATACTGTGGCAGCTGTTGGCCCGTATAGAGGATTAACTGATGTTCGAAAAATTGTTCAAGATACAATGTATAACCTTCATCCAGTATATGCGATAAAACAGTTAATGATAAAACGGGAAATAGCAAAGGATCCAAAACTGAGAAACGAAAGTTGGGAAAGATTTCTTCCTAAGTTTCAGAAGAAAAATGTCAGTAAACGCAAAGAACCTAAGAAGAAGCGTAATAAGAAGGAATATACTCCGTTCCCGCCACCTCAACCTGAAAGCAAAATTGACAAGCAACTGGCTAGTGGAGAGTACTTTCTTAAGGATGAAGAACGAATGGCTAAAAAGCGGAAAGAGAAAGATGAGAAGCAAATTGAGGCTCGTAAGAGATGAAAAGCTAGAATTGAGGTCGTAGGTCCGAGAGAGAATACGACCAGAAAACCATTTATTTCCTCCTCAAAGAACCATCTACTCTACACTTCCTAAGAAGGGGCTGAGACTGAATTGATTCGTTAATTATCATAGAAGAGACGATACAGCTAAGAATTGCACAGAAAAAAGTAAGACATAACACCTCGAGGACAGATTAGCGCTGATACATTATTTCATCTTTTGTGCCATTGAACATTCGTGTAGTTAAAATTCGAACTATACTAATTGATTTAACTATCAGTTGATTTAGTTTTTGGTGTAGTACGAATAGATTTAGTCATTCGAGAGAGATATGTGCATACTTATTGATTCCACTGTGTAATGAGAAGACGTGTCTTCATCTAGGTGCTGATACTATAAACAGAGTACTTTTGACACTTGACTACATTACAGATATTTTAGAGCATATATTTGAGTAAGAGTGAGTGTGTTTAGATGGTAACACATTGAGAGATAGACTTTTGTGCTATGACAATGATTTCTTTAAATCATACAATGTAATACTTGCTATTACGATGGGAAGAAGGAACTGTTATACAAGGCTATTCATCTTTAAATTCTATAATGACCGAATGTTGTTTTCATAAAATTAAATTCTTGCTCTTTGCATTTGTGTTCTTGCAATTGTTTTTTTGGCACTGATCAGCAAGCCATAGGTGTTTTGAATGTATTAGTTGCCTGGATTGATCCATTATGAAAATTTTTTTATTAATATAATGTGTAAATAAACATGATGTATGTATCTAATTTGAACATATACAGACATATTTAATGGTTTACATATAATGCAATAAAAGAAAGAATTAATGCAACTTCTAAAATTGATTAGAAATGCAAATTACCCCAAAATAAATAATTGAACTAATGTAAATGTGTAGTTTCTTTTTTAAATTCATGTAGTAAAGTTTTGTCACATGTTTCCTTGTAAAGATCGAGTTCTTCCATTTCATTAATGGATGGTCAACTTTCCTCCTTTCTTCCTTCCTGAGAATATGTAATGGCCTGTTAACTTGTATGTTTTTTAATTGAGTATGTTTGGATAAAAATAGTTCACTTTATTTCTGATTTTAATGTTGTTTTTTTTTTGCCTGAAAGGTTTTATTAGAATGTCTATGGACTTGGATTTTAACTTTAAAATCTTGGAAATTTCTTATCGCATGTTGAAGGAAAGTGATGTACTGAATTTGGCTTACAATTTTAATGTTTAGCAAAAGGATAGAAATACAAATCAATGTGGTAAAGGTAGAGATGGAATTAAAGCAGATGAAAAATGTATTTGAAGAAATTAAATTTGTGGTGAAGATAGTATTCAACAAGTTTTTGCCTGTGTATGTAATGTTCATTTCCAGTAAATAAACAATACACTGTACTGTCTTCCTGTCACGTCAGAGGAGTTTAGATTTCTCAAATGAACGTTTCATAAAATGCACATATCTCATTTTTAGATCTGTATTTCCTACCCTTCTAGGAATGTCCAGTTTATCAAACTTTCTTGTGTACCTTCCTTACCTTGTAATAGATCCTATCCAGCTGCCATTATTTAATTTGCTACTATTGAT